CAACTGATGACAGTTAATCTGAAAGACTACCAGCTCTTGATATGATCTAAACCACCTGAGGTGACCATGATCTAGAGCATCGCAACTATTGTCACCGAAGTTAGTAAGTCACGGAAGACCGTCACAGACAAAGAAAGATTGTCAACGAGAGCTGCAATTTTGGTGAATCCCACGGCGACACACCGAGGCATTACGAAAATTCCTCAACTCCGTTCAACACAACTTTCCTTAACTTCTCCGTCTGTATGCACCTGCAGCTCAGTTGAGTCTCATAGACCTTTATCGTGATTGTCGTCACAGTACCACGTGACCCAGATCTGTTGCTTCATTTTTGCATATTGAGGTGAGGTTTACTAAAACGCCTTTTTTCTACTAATAGATTGTTTTTATAATTTTTAAATGGCGGGGATCGATTAAAACATACCTCTAGTGTATAGATTGAGTGCTGTATCTTCAAAATTCGAGAAATGGATTTTTACATGAACATTGTCCTTTAAAATATCATTTAATAGCTGGAAAATATCATGCTATGAATGAATTATCAATATCCGCTTCTACAGGTGTATAGAATTCCAAAAGTAAAATAAGCAGTCTACTTACTCAAAATATGAGGCAGTTTGGTGGAATCATCAAGCACTTACAATTACAAGCATAAAAATTGGCACAGTTGTGGAGAACATGATTCTAAGCAACGTTGGATATAGGGGCATGTCTGAAAATTCCAATATGGCAGTCAATTTCAATATGGCCCCCAAATACAATTTCAAGGTGAAAGTTATTTGTATAGTCTTTTATAAAAATATCATCTAATGGTTAGAAAATACCATAGTATGTATGTAGTATCAGTATCTGCCACTATAGGTTTTAAATTTCCAAAATGGCCTCCAAAAGTCAGCAGACCACAAGTATTGAATTGTAATCACTCGTGAATAGGCATGTGGGCTTTGCAACTACCTGTATAATCAGCATATTCCTACCTGTGCAGGAGCTATTCTACAGAGTTTTAAAAAAACATCAAGCATGATACATTTATTAGGTACTGAAAACAGTCCTTCTTTTGATAAACCAAAATAAGTAGTTTGGCTTTTTGCTCTGGATTCTCACTTAGATCAATTCCCAGTTAGTGATCTACTTATATGGCACTCATGAGTGACTCCCCCTTTCTAAGAAAAAAAAAACGATCGTGCAAAATCCATAAAATGTGAAAGAAACACCAGAATAACTTAGCCTTAAAGAGGCAAATATAAAAAAGCTTGGGGTGTACCAATTTTGTCTGTTGGTTATGATTCTTCAGCTAGATCAGTGCATGGCGCTTCATTAAATGCTCACAAATATAACAAAAATGACAGCTAGTCAAACATACCGGTCTCAACAATTTGGTGTTTTGCATTGGTAAAGTACTAAAAGCAGGGGCACATTTGCACACGGTAATGTTATGATGTTATCTTGTGCGTCAAAAGTAAATTAGAAAAGCTTCTTATTTCAAGAAATGGATTTAGTACATTCGCAGTAATGGCTACCGAGAATTTAGTGAAAATTTATGAGCAAAGAAATACCCCAAACAGAGGGCAGATGTTGATACGTGCTGTATCCAAGAGTTGCATTGCAGGCTTCACACTTCGTGCACTAAAAAAGAAGCACTGATAGGCGCCAAACTTTGGTTTTCATTTGATCATTTGGCAACTTGTTTGGTTACAAACTTATCCTTTCAAATAACTGAACATGAAAATAAAAGAATTAAAATCCTCCAGAAAGTTTATACCTACAAAGCTTCAAAAATTCACGGTGTATTCTGAGGATTACACCAAGAAATTAGTGCAATATGGACTTTGAAAGGTAAAAATTCATGAGTTTTCCGGCACCATTGTCTCTGTGGGTCAATCCAGAATGAAGCCATGGGGAGTATTCACTTACCCAGATAACAAAACCTAACTTTTGCAGGTACATGTAGCTCCTACCACATCTGTTTGTAGTTATGTGTGCAATTGCTAACTATGGTGAGGGGAGTCAGAAGCATTGGAAGACTGGTCCTATAAGGGTTCACACTAGTAACCTACATCTACTAATATGCCCTACCACACTTTCATATTCCTATTGACCCTCATGCATGTAAACTGATGCTTTCTGGTGTTAAAAATGACCAATGTATTTTGTTGGGGAAAGTGGATTACATGTAGAAGCTATAGCTTTAGGCAAATTCTGGGAAAGCTAACCAAATAAGTAGAAATTTCGGTGTAGCTAGNAACCTACATCTACTACTATGCCCTACCACACTTTCATATTCCTATTGACCCTCATGCATGTAAACTGATGCTTTCTGGTGTTAAAAACGACCAATGTCTCTTGGTATTTTGTTGGGGAAAGTGGATTACATGTAGAAGCTTTAGCTTTAAGGAAATACTGGGAAAGCTGAGGGAAACACAACTACTAGTAAAGCTAGGCACACATTAATGAATGAAAATTATTTAACCAAATAAGTAGAAATTTCGGTGTAGCTAGTTGTTATCCTCTGTTGAGATATTGTCCATTTACTAAAGTAAAAGGTTGACCGCCCATAAAATGTGCAACACTTACTTGATAAAATAACTTTCGTTAATTTGAAACTTATTTGTGAAAATACCTTGACATTTTCATACCCTTGACATTTATAGAATTGCTGCATGTGGTGTCACAACTAGACCAAAAGGAGTCCTGTTCCATTTTTTATGGTCATTTGGGTCTAAATGTAACTAAAGGAGTGAAAAACCAAAAAAGAGTAAAGACTGTTGTCAGTCAGATTATATAGTAGTCTTTTTTACTTTAAAAGGGTTTTAGTGGCCATATTAGAATATTCAGACATGTCCCTGTATAAAAAATTGCTTAGAATCCTGTTCTGTACAATTGAGCCAATTTTCATGCTTGTAGTTTTAAGTGCATGATGAATTCACCATACTGCTGCTGTGAGGGAGCCTGTTTTTCTTATTTTAGGAGGCCATTTTGGATTTCTATACACTTAAAGAATCAAATATTGATACTTCATGCATACCAGAGTCTTGTCTAACCATAAAATGTTATCTTAAGTTATTATATGATTATATATACTTGAAGTTTTAATTTGAACGGGTATTTGTGTCGGCTATATTGGATTTGGGGGCCATATATTGAAATTTTTTAATGCTCATACATCCAAAAGTGCTTGGAATCCTGTTTTACAACTGTACCAAATGCCGTGCTTGTAGTTTTTGATGAATTAACCACTCTGCTGGATATCTTGGATTAGTAGAGTGCTTTTTACTATTGGCGGCCATTTTGGATTTAATACACCTAAAAAAGCAAATATTGATTCTGAATTCATACCGTGGTGTTTTTTAACCTTTGTATGATATTTACGCCCTTAAAAGACTATATACTTGAAGTTTTAATTAGAAGCCGTATTTTTTGGAGGCCATCTTGGATTTGAAGGCCATTTTTAAATTTTTGGATATGCCCATACTTCCAAACTTGCTCAGAATTTCATTTTCCACAAACCTGCCAAATTTTATACTTGTAGTTTTAAGTGCTTGATGAATTCCCCATTCAAATGGATATCTTGAATAAATGGTCTGCTTTTTTTACTTTTGGCGGCCATTTTGGTTTTAATACACCTGAAGGATTCATACCATGGTGTTTTCTAACTTTTATATGATATTTTAAGTCATTAGAAGACTATGTACATAAAGTTTTAATTTGAAAAGGTATTTTGGTGGCCATATTGTATTTGACGGCCATTTTGGAATTTTCAGACATGCCCATATATCCAGATTTGCTTAGAATTTTATTGTCCATAAGTGTGCCAAATTTCATGCTTGTAGGTAAAAAATGCACAATTTTTCACCAATTTCCTGGACTATTAGTGTATATTCTAGGGTGAACCTGTGAGAACCAGAGATGTAGTGAGAGACTTTGTAACACAATAAAGATAAGTTTTCTACAACACTTCTGGATTTGTCTTAATTTTCTTTGATGAATGATTGATAAAATATTTTTATTAGTTTGAAGATTATTGTTTCATTATTTTTGATTTATTGCATCAGAGCCCTGCTTTAAGATCAAAGCCTGAAGGTAACAACAAAATGAAACAAGAAAATGGCTGAAGAAAAATTAAGATCCATTTATTAATATTTTCAAAATTTATTTTCCATCTAAGTTATAAAAGATAGTTCGGTAAACATGGTAAACAAGAAGTTTTATGATTGGCTTCCATATTGTATTAATTACTGCTACCTTAGTTTAAATTCATAAATAATCTGAACTGGTGATGTGACCCACTCATAGCTGGATAATTTTTCATCACATTCCCAGATTTCCAATGTGATGACATCCCTGTTATGTATAAAAATAAAACTCTAAGGACAAAGTTATCTGGACGGCTATTCCCATTCCTAGGTGGGCAGTAACTGACTGACCTCTCTGGACACATGTACCACTAATCTTTAACCTGTAATTGTGGTCAAACACTTGAGCCCCAGTAGAGGAGGAAACTACAGGAATGTTGACTTAATGCCTGTGACCAGTGTGAAATATTGATTATTAACATGTGAGACAATGCCCAACTAATTAATTATATTAACTTACATTAAAACTATAAAATAAATATTTCAAGGTAAGAAAGAAATTTTACAAAAGTGCTTATAAAGAGTAAAACAATGTTATAAATATCAAACCATTTATATTGGGACGCTGGTGACTAGGGGGAGGGAAGGATAGGTGCCACACTTTCATGCTTCTACTACTACAGCACAAGAAATGAGGTCATACAGTCTTAATAAAATGTGTTAATTTACAATTGCATGAGATATGAAGGAAATGATTCCCCCAAGAATATAACCAGGTAGTGCTGGGTACCAATATTGCATTCACCACAAACATGCAATGAAGCAATTGACATTTTCTAGCATTGAATTCCATCAATAATTGCTTCAGTAACTGCCTTCACACAATTATGTCCTCTACATACCTTCTCATACGAGATTTTAAACACCATATTTAAGAGCTGGTCTATATTATGCTCTCATGTGAAGATGGGTTACCTCATGACCACAGTTTAACATGGTTTATGTTATATTAGTTTGAAGTGGACAGTTTAGCTTTAAATGCTTTCTCCTCACACAATGCCATTCAGTATGAATGTCTATTCCCAATGTATAGATATATTATTCTAAAACTGAAATGCATTGGTTCACCAATTCAAATGATAAGACAAGATCTGCTGTCAGACTCTGACAATATTCAGACGATATCAAATGGTCCCAATGTTGGTATTACTGCAACATCTGCAAGTCAATCAATCATTCTCCAGAGACTTTATACCATTCTCTTGAATACCCAGAAATAAACTTGTAAGTAGTTCTGTAAGTCCCTGCTTCAAAATTGTTAACTTTTATATTTTTTGTTGCAGATCTTTTGTGCCAAAGAATAAAGTATGTTTCTGTGCAATTCTGAAATAGGCGCACAGGCATTTTTATCAAAATACAGAAACCTGGTCTGTTTTTTTATTCACTTCTGCGAGCACAGAGTTTCATTTTTATTTGATTCAAACATCCCACCCCATGATTGTCAAATACTAGTAAATCTTTAAGTTGTTGTTGTATTTACTTTCCTTTTAGCATGCTCTGAAGTTGTTCCGTCAGCCAGTCTATCCCTTCAGCTAAACCCTCACCACTGATAGCATTACTGGCACAGATATGCCATGCTCTGTCCTTTACCATATCCAGTCCCAGCAACTGAGAACATTTCACACTAGACAGCGCATCACGCAAGTCCATCTTGTTAGCAAAGAACAAAATCGGAGTCCTTTTATCTTTGATGTCTGGATGTTGTAACAATGTGTCCAACTCGTCCTTGGCGACAACCATTCTCAGTTTATCACTGCTGTCAATCACAAATATAATCCCATTGCATTCTTTGTAATAGTGCTCCCACAGACTGCGATACCTGCCCTGCCCAGACATATCAAAGGCTGTAAATTGTAAGGTTTTGGTTTGGAATACTTCCTGTTTGAAGCCAACTGTGGCCACAATGTCTGTCTTGGCTTCCTCGGGCTTCAGGTGGTTTAGTATAGTAGACTTCCCACTGTTGTCCAACCCAACAACCAGTACTTTGGCATCCTTCTTCTTCAGTCCCAGCATCTGAGCCAGCCTGTCCAGAAAACCCATCTTGTGGCTTTTAAAATACTCTTTCTGGATTTATTGAGTTACTCACTTTTTCCTATGAAGGGGTGACTTTTAATATTTTTCTTGTATTGTGTCTAGACAGAGATATAAACCTGGAATAGGAAAAAATGAAACAAATATATGATACTCCAAATTTTAATTCTTCACCTATTTCAAATCGGGGCAATGTGAAAAAATCCAACATATAAATAGACGTACCAAAACTGTTAAGTTCAAAACTGGCTCTAACGTTAACCGAGTGTGATCGGGAGTTATTGATTTTGTGCTTTGGATCTTTAGCTACACCATTTTACTAAGAAATATTTGTTCTACATAAAGGTTCCAAACTCTAGCTCAAGAAGACGAAAGTTCAAATGCCGGTTTGTCTTGTCAGTCTTGTCAATATTACATTTTGGCCATAGCAACTGGACGCTTTCAACGTCGATGTCGGTTATTTGTACATCTTATGAAAAACAAACCACGAATAAGAACTGAGGGCATATAACAAAACTCACCGCGATAAAACGACCTTTCACCGTTTGAATTTGCCGACACCTGAGGTTTATCACCTTTACAGCGACAAACTTGCACTTGAGAAGAATCTATCCCAGCATTCCCTGGTAAGATTTAATGCGCAGGTGCCGCAATGGCGGGCTATATCAACTTCCGGTAGGTACAAGTAGAAAGACTTTCTAAATTATAACTGTTTGTTTAACTTTTTTCTGGCTTTTGTATAGTGCATACTTGAGCTTAGTTATAATAAACTCACTTTGCAGACTCATTGACACACAGACATCCCTTAAACGCTGAGTCCTCTCTCTCTCTCTCTCTCTCTCTCTCTCTCTCTCAAACCAGTTCAGTGTTTACCCATACAACCAAAATTTACTAATAATCAGACCCCAGCTACGTGCAGATTTTTGTCTGCATTCTCTTATGGATTTTACCCTAGACCCAATAAGTGACTATAACCATTTATAGCTACTAGTAGTTAATCTAATTTAAATACTAGCAATATAAAGACCACTAATTTAAAGTAATCAATTTCTTTAACTTATCATTTTAGTGAAAAGAAGAAACAAGACAGATGGCTTGAAAGTCCAAACTAAGTTGCAACAAAGGGCAATCTCATGTCTGTAAAAGAAAATGAAATGCAAATAGAATGAAAATTGAACTTTAAGATGTGATTATGTGACCACCACTCAAAAAAACTAAGTAAGATATTGTGAACTAGTGTCCATCCAATCATGGCAGCCCAGTATTCTCGCAGTGTGTTGAAGGTTGCCGTGGCTCAGATCTGCCAGAACATGGGTTGGAACTCCATCCAGTCCAGTCCTCTAGAACTGCTGACAGATCTGCTGGAGAGACACCTGCTACAAGTGGGAAGAACTACACACAGATACTCTGAGCAGTGTAAGTGGGATGTGGGTAGGGGTGGGTGGGATAGGAGAGACACCTGCTACAAGTGGGAAGGACTACACACAGATACTCTGAGCAGTGTAAGTAGGGTGTGGGTAGGGGTGGGTGGGATGGGAGAGACACCTGCTACAAGTGGGGTACTGAGGGTTGGGAGGGGGTGCTTCAAGGGGTGAGGATGGCATACAGATACTCTGCATAGTGTACGTAGGGTGTGGGAGGTAGCTTTCATGACACTGGAACAGGACTTGTTTTTACAACCTTTCAGTCTTTTTGTATATAAAATGTCGAATACATTGCCAGATTAAAAAATGTTTATTCAATTATGTAATGAATTATTTATTAAACAGCTAATTTCTCCAATCCAGTAACTACTCTTCATTTGTGTAAGTAAATAATATTGTACAGCTTACAAAAGATGGAGAAGGTTACATTTGTATGTGATTGTCAAGTTGTTTTACTTATTTTTCACAATAATAACTCAGAGGTTATAATACTGCTCCTGTCACAACTCTAGTTGGAAGAACAGAACCCAACTTGGATGACCTTGGCCTTGCATTCCGTGACCTTGGCATTGTCCTAGGTGAGCTTGACGAGTATGTGAACAATGTGGACCTACCAGTGTTCGCACATGACATCCCAGCATTCCCTGCTCCCAAAGAAAACAGGCTCCAGTTTCCTCCGCGGAAGAGTCAACAAGTGCAGAACAGGGATGAAGCAATTGATGACCACCTGCCGCTGATGTATCCTGACATGGAGGGTGAGTTGAACGGCCTTTTCATGATTAGACTTTTGCCTCCATATTATGTATAAGTTGCTTTGATTTCTAACTGAAGGTTTGAATTTTTAGATTTTCTTTGTTGTGATTTCTTAAACTTTTTTCTTTGATATCATCTTATGGTCATGGGAGTCAAAAATTATTAATACCTTTTACAGAGATGATCATTAAATTATCCATAACTTTTTGTGTTAGAATTTGAAGAGCCTGCACAGACCCCCACCAAGAAGGTGCCTCCCCCTGGTGAGCAGAATGGTGAAGTTTTGCCACCAGATGGCAGTGCTGGCTCAGACACATTGAAGAGAATGTTGACCAGTCCTACTGCAGAACAGCCAGCAAAGAAACAAAGGTAGTTTTATCATCTCCTTTATTTTAAAGGGTCAATACTAATGTTGTATCACAAATAGTAAGAACTTTTCATATAATTGATAAATTTAAATAGAAATAACAATTGTCAAATAAATCTGATGATTTTGAGGTTTGTAAAAAAAAAAACATCATTTGTTTCCTGTTTCAGACTGGCAGATGAAGTGCTTGGTTCTCGATATGAAATAAAAAATGTCATCATGACAGACCAGGGACTCATTTCTCCTATGCGGCATGGAAAACTACCAGATGCTCGTACCCCACCAGCACCTCAGAAACAACCAATCAAATCACAGCCACTGAGAAAAGAAGAGAAAATGGAGACCACTCCAGAGAAGGCTCCAGCAGAGAAGGTCCAGAATGAAGTTACCACACCCTCCAAACCTGAATCCAGTTTATTGATGAAACCACTTACTTCCCCAGTGGCACCATTAGCACCATCAGCACCACCTGTGGTGGTGACAAAAGCAGCACCACCTTCTCCTGTTCCGACAGCACCACTTCCTTCACCAACACCACCACCACCTAATGTGCCGAAATCACCACTCACCCCCAAACCTTCAGAAGTCGTTAAAGCTATGCTGAGTTCCAAAACTGCTAAGCCTCCAAAGTCTCCATCTCGATCAAAATCTCCCGTGAGGGCTAAAAGTCCAAAGGGAGAAGGTAAAAGTAAAAAGACGACGCCCTCTTCCCCTGGTAGTGCAGCTGCTTCAAAGTCTTCTCATCTGGCCAAAGCACTTACTGAATCTACCAAGACAGCACCAATAGCAAGCAGCTCACCACTGCCCCCTAGGGATGATTCACCGGAACCTGAAATGCTGGTCATTGATGAGGATGTTAACGTTGCAAAAAGAGCACGGCTTCAAAATTATGATGACAGTATTGATGCAGCTATTAAGAGAACAATGGCGGAAGCCGATAAATCTGACCAATCAGATCAAGAGACACAACCGCCACCAGTGCCAACATGGCGGACTTCTGTTGACGATTCTATAGATGCGGTGATTCGCAGAGCTAATATGGAACATGAACAGGAAGTAGCTAAGAAAGATAAGGAAAAAGAGAAGGAGAAATTAAAAGAAAAAGAGAAAGAAAAAGTTAAGGAGAAAGAAAAAGTTACTAAAGATCCCTATGCATTTGAATTTGATGATAAACCAGCTGAGGCCCCCAAGGTTCCTACCCTGACTATTACATCTGGAGAAACTGGGACCAAAATTAAGAAGAAAAAAGACAAATCTCTGAGCAACAAAGATAAGGACAAAAGCAAGGAAAAGAAAGAAAAATCTAAAGACTCAGACATCAAAAAGAAACTAAAAAAGAAATTAAAGCAAAAATCCAGTGGTGTGAAAGAAGACAGTTCTTCAGCAACTCCGGGGTCTCCCCTGACTGGACAGGGACTGGGAATCAAACTCCCATTAAAAGATTTAATCAGTCGGTCACCTTCTGTCCACTCGTCATTTTCATCCTCTCCCATGAGGTCGCCATCTTTAGAACCCAGCGTGGTCAAGACTCTGCCGCCTCAACAGCCTCAGGCCTCGGACACAGCAGTCATGGGTCAAGCGTCTAGCTCAGAGTTTAACTACCCGTCTCCAACCAAACTGACTATACAGAGGGTCAGCGGGACAGAAGATTCAACGCTCAAGATTAAGCCGATTAAACTGGAGGGTGGGAAAATAAAGGTTAGTCACTGGGGTTGCTGTCAGGCTGCTGTACTGTGAATGTATAAACTGAAAACTTTCTGGCTGAGTGTACAGGATAACTTTTAATTAACATATGAGTGCTCTTCAGACATTTATGGGACATTTTAACAAATTTTCTTGGTTGTTGATTTCAGTCCAAAGTGTTTGTGTTGAGAGTCATTGTGAAGATCTGTTGAAATGATAATATGAAAAAATTTGTTTTGGCTTTTTCAGGAATTTTTAGGCGTGTGTGTGTGTGTGTGTGTGTGTGTGTGTGTGTGTGTGTGTGTAATAGTTTTGATCAACTTTCATAAGTTTCATCTGGAAAATGTTAAATTGCAAAATCTGCTACATGAAGGAGCTGCATTATAAAATATTTTGAAAATTAATTTCAGGATAAAGAGAAGTCACACAAGAAGGAGAAAAAGGACAGGAAAGATAAGGACAAGAAGAAAAAGAAGAAGAAAGAAAAGGACAAGGACAGAGATAGAGAGAAGAGTGAAAAGAAAGAAAAGAGAAAAGAAGAAAGGGAGAGAAAGAAGGATAAAGAAAGGCACAAGGACAAGGAGAAAGAAAAGAGAAAAGAAGAGAAATCCAGAGAGGAAGAAAATAAGGTGAGAGAATGAGATTTTACTCAGTGTACATCACCAGCTGTAGTGAATTTGTTTTTTTAATGAACATGTTCTCAAAACTGCATTGGTGTCGATAGCAAATAGCATTAATTTTCTATTTATGAGGAATACATTTATAAAAATAAACATCTGGTGCCAGTCACTTTTAACTTATTAAACATCTTACACAATTTAGTCTAGTTATTTTTTTAGACATAAATCTCCATTTAGGACTTCATAATTTTTTTGTTCCTTTAAGTTAATTACCAGCATTATGAAAAATCTATGCACAAAATATTACTGGCGACTTAAGAATGGTGGCAACAGGTAACAATAGAATTCCATTCCATATTTTTTTTTCAAATCTCCCCAGGGGAAGGAAGAACCTTTTGTGCCAAAACTCAAGTTCAAATTGGGCGGCTCAACGCCCTCTGTCAGTTCCTCGCCTACGGCAGCTTCACAGTCAGACTCGGCCTCAGAGATGACAAAGAAAACATCATCCTCGCTACGGGATGAGATATTAACAAAACTGGAGAAACCCGAGATACCAAAACTGTGAGTTGATTCCTTGAAACAGGATTGCATTGTAAAATCAAACATGATTATAATTTTTCTGATTTAAGTTGAAATATGTATTTTATCTTGGCAGTTTTCCACATTTAGTGGCTCCCTGCTACTGAGTCATTTCTTACTACTTTTTTTCTTACAACATTAAATCATGTCTGTGAAATATGTCTCAAAAATCAAGCCCCTGTAATGAGCTGCCATTTCTGATTGCTTTTTTTTAGTTAATAACAGGTTCTTATCTAATTGCACTAATTAAACAAAATAATTAATGTTTAGGTCTTTGATTATAAAGGTTTACAGAATTTGGGTGATACCTCAGTCCAACATCTAGGCAGATGTAATGATAACATTTGTACATTTTGTATTCTAGGGTTATCAAGCCAATGCCACCAAGGGATCAGCCACCCCCTCTGTCAATACCCTCACCCCCCAGGGCTGCATCAACCCCCAGAGTGGATAGACCAGAGCCAAAGGCGGCACCCATACCCCCACCCCCACCTCTCAAGTCTCCCACCAAGGCTTCTAAGACCCCCACCCCCTTCTCTCCGCCCCGGGTGACCAGAGCCAAAACCCCACCCTCTGCTACCTCTCTGTCCCCCTTCCACTTCTCTCCTGAATCTTCGCCATCTCCACCCCCCTCACCCCCCAGAGTGCCCAAGGCCCCCCTCTCACCCCCTGTGGTACCCCCCATGCCACCCCCTGCCCTCAAGTCAAAAGCAGCTGCCCAGAAATGTGTTGTTGTCACGGAAACCATAGGACAGTACCAGTTTGTGGTAAGAATATCTAATCGACTGAAAACAGTACATCTCTATTTTATGTTTATCAATTAGTTAACTGAATCCTCATCTATACACCTTGTTGATGTAATAACTGAAAATAAATACTGTCACACCATCTGGGTGGGACCCTGCATTACATAATACTTACTAATCTGTGATATATATTTCTCTGTTTTAGGACGAAGCAGGCAATACCATCTGGATTTGCCCCAACTGTAAACTACAAGATGACGGCAGTCCAATGATTGGCTGTGATGGCTGTGACGATTGGTATCACTGGTAAGTTTTGATTGGTTAAAATGACATTGTAGCCATGACAACTTGTATCACTGGTAAGTTTTGATTGGTTAAAATGACATTGAAACACCATGACGACTGGTATCACTGGTAAGTTTTGATTGGTTAAAATGGCATGACACCAATCATCAAAATCATTGAAGATAGTCCAAGATCCTATGACTTGGCCAGGAATGAAGTTGGATTTGTAGGAGAGGGAGGATCCACCAACAGGTGGTTTATTACTAAGCAGAAAAGAAAGGAAATCTGTAGCATAGCAATGTAATATTGTTTGATGAAAAATCACTCCCTTTATTTATTTATTTTTTTATTCAAGGCAGTGAACTTATTGATATTGAAGTTACCTTGATTTATGTTTGAAAATGATGAAGTCAGTTCAGAAATAGATGGGAATAAATTTTAAATAAAAACAGGCAATATTCATTTCCAGCTTTACAAAGACCACTGTCACAGCTAGCATTCAATTTGATATTTCAGGGTCTGTGTGGGTATCGTCAACCCTCCCAGCGATGATGAGCAGTGGTTCTGTAAGAAATGTAAGGACAAGAAGAAGAAAGGTGGGAAGGGGAAGCGAGGGGGTGGAGGCGGAGGACCAGGGAGGAAGAAGAAGAAAGTGACCTAGTTCCTGCATTGTGGTACATGGCACTGGAGGGAGTCAGAAGATGAGAGAATATTCACTCCTTTTGATTAGTTATCTTGAGGAAGTTGGGCAGAGAGAACAGGGCCCCGTATCTCGAAAGCATCGCGCAAGCGTCTCGATTCCATAACTCGCCCAATCTCGTCCCATATAATACATTGTAGCCTCTATTTGATGTAGCTATTTGCAATACGCGATGCTTTCGAGATGGGGGGCCCAGGACTGTAAATACTGTAACTTATGAGGAGGATCTTGGTTTTGAGCTTTGAATTAATTCATTAAGACAAAAGTTGAGATGATACTACAACATAACCTTTTTGTCAAAGATACAATGACGAGGATGTGAATTTGATAAAAATAAAATATTTACAGAATATCAAGCCTAGATCATATTGTATCTTTGTTGAAGTAATGAAAGGATAATATAAAGGGATGCAAGTGATGAATTGACAAGAAAGGATTGAAAAGGAAATGGTCAATGTTTATACAAATAAAGCTGTCACTATAGTCCAAGCCTTTTGTGCCAGGAATGTGCACTCGTCTTGTTACTGCAATAGCTTTGAAAAGGTGTCTCTTTTTTACTGAAAATTAGCTGGAGCAATTTGTCATGTTATGAAAATGAGAGATATTTCTTGGTAATATTTCTTGGTATAATACTTAAAGGAAGTACATCTACAGGTTTTACTGTAGCCCGATTTATTTGTCATAGCATAATGCAGGTCAAGTTTAAGATTCAGCAAGGTCAGATTTACAATTTAAGTTTATTTGATTTTATCATTTATTTTTACTGCATTACATCCTTGTTTCAAGTTCATCTTTAGTGTTTTTTGAGGTGACATTTTGAAGCACAGTTATCATGTACCAGCACTGTGTAATCCAGATGAAGGACCCAGTAGAAATTGTAGTGGAAATGCCCTTCATTTGTCAGAAGTTAAAATATAAATATGATTTCTCTTAACATGATAAATAACCAATGTCACATAAATTTAAGATGTAAAAATATGATAAATAAAGAAATGGCAGTATTTTCCATACCTTTGGTGTTATTTGTTACTGAACAATTATTAACTGCATAGAACTACGTTTTTGCCAACTATGGATTTGCATCATGTAAATTCATGTCTTCACAACATCATTAGTAAAAAGTAAAATGTTTATAAAAGAGGTATACATGATTAGTGCATGAAAGGAACTCCTAGTTGGATGTGTTGCTGTCTCTAGGATCCTACACATTTGATGGGTGCAAGGCTTTCCTAGAAGCTGTGTAAAACAAAACATACAGGTACTGATATCAAAAACTGTGTCACGATTTAACGTTTCTTTAATCATTAACAGGAAAACAGCAGTTAACTACCAGGTGTCCTGGTGACCCAATATTACTTATAGATACCAATAGGGCCAGTTTACAATATATCTGCCCAACTAGCTACTGCATTGTAACTCCACAGATACTCTTGCTGAATGCAATCAGGTGAACAGATTCACACCTCTCGTTTTCAACGTAGTTGTATTATCACCAGTTTTTACTGTATTTTCTACTCGACACCAGGAAGATTACATTCAGCATGAGCTTTCTTGGGAGTTAGGGCGCACTAGCTAGTACAATATATTTATTGTGAACACACCCTGGTACTAATTTCAGATCAGACAGGTGGTTCTTGACTTTGACTGGGTACTGCTGAAGTACTGTGTACATGCTGAGATGTCTATAACATAGTATCTCCCTGGTCTTAACAATTGCAGAGTGTAATTGCTCTCGTTAAAATCTGAAGACGATAAAAATTTTCAAAAATATAAAATTATCCTGCCTGCATTTTTAATTGTCCCAATGTCATATTTTTTATCCTGAAAAGCATCTTATTTATAGCATTTTCAATTTCCTTAAATATGAACAAACCCGAAAAATAAAATATTTTGATACAAAATCTTGATCATCACCACTTTTATCTATTACAATTGCCTGAAGTGCCAAATTTTATTGCTGATAACATTGTTAAAATATAACCTGATTTGCCCTCTAAATCAGTATTCCACCAGATGGTGCACAGTAAAGGTTGACTGATAACCTTCATAAAGATATGGAGGCCATGCACTTCTTTGAGGGGGACAAATAGAGGCTCCAAACACAATATATAGTTTTGTTACTGACATTATGCCCAATAAAACATGAATCTATCATGTGAAAGCAGTTTTTAAATAATTTAAATAAATCCAATAAACGCTGTTAATTTTTTCAAGTGGTGCAGGTCACAGCAGTGGCATCTGGTAAATGTGGACCAATGAATGCAACATGATTGTACACCTCTCTGTAGCAACCCTCTCTTCATGCTCCTCCCCCTTTTACCACCAGCAATACAACAACACCCATCTTAAGAAGTTAGTACTGGGACTTTTCCATAGGAGGAAGATTTTTTTTCAAACTTGCAAAAATTGTGGACAGTTGGACATCAGGTATTTCAAGAAAGTGCCTTTGATTTAAAGACTTTCACTGCAAGTTTGAAACTGTGATAGTTTTCAGGTATTTATACTAAGGTTTTCAAGCAGTTGTCCAGTTGACAAGTGTGTAGACTGCCACTATGTCTGATACAGAAGAAAAATCTGGATCTGCTGACATTACAGCAAAGCCTCAATTTGGCTCCAATGTCTCCCTGAACAGTGAACCAACAGACCACAAGATGGAGCCACCATCTAACTTCAAGGTGATAGCACCGTTCGCACTGGACATGACTGACCGTGATCCTACCAACATGAATGACCATCTGAAGGTATGCTCCGCTCTGCAATGTGGGGACGGGAAAAGTTGATAAATTGGAACCCTCTACAAACTTCTTGCTTTTGGTTTACCCTGAAATCCAAACAGTTTGAATATTGTCAACATTTGACATCTTTGAATTCCACAGTAAAAATGGTAAATCTTTTACATTTGAACTTCAGGTTTAATAACAAATATCTAAAAAAATAGAATTGCAATTCTTCTTCCCTCTGTTAGGTTCTCTTTGAGGATGTGATAGCAGAACCAGAAGGTACCCATAGCTTTCAGACAATATGGCGGACAAGCTTTGCCACCTTCAGTGCAACCAAAAAATGGACTTACCGCATACTGAGTGCCATCTGTGGCGTCCCATGTGCCTTTTGCTGGGGCATTCACTTTGCCTGTCTCACCTTCTGTAATGTGTGGAGCGTGGTGCCCTCTATAAAAAGCTACGGAATTCAACTCAAGGCAATTGGGACAGTATTTGGAATGTGCATTCGTACATTTTCTGACCCTTGCTTCGAGTCCTTCGGTCGCATTTTTGGGCGTATGCACCTTGATCTGGTTCGGAAGTCATCAAAGGATACAGTGCTCAATACCTGAGATAAGACAATTGTCAGTCCTCCTATAGCAGTCACCTATTACGTGAACTACAGCAAACCCTCAATAATTCAAACAACATGGATTAGTATCCCCCCTCCAACCCCCTAAAATGTTTGGTTAATGTAATTTATGCCAATTTGAAAGTCCTGAATGAAGTTGTGAATGTGAATGCTTGAAAATGACTTTTGATAGTAAAATGTCAGAAAAAGTCAGGTATTTAGAACTTTACTGTAAATGAGAATTGTGTGAAAACATTGCAATTTTTTCCATAATATCCACTGTGTGACTAGTTATCTTGTCAGCAAATCTTCAGCACATTATAAGAAAAAATGTGGACAGCTTTGATGTTAGACTAATGGGTAGTGAAATAATGGTAAACCTTTTTATTATCCAAGGATTTGTCATAGAAAGGTATGACATAGTGAATGTAACAGTACAAATCAGAATTGGAAATAAATATAGTCAGATTATGTAAAAGGGATCTATATGCAATTACGAAGAGGGATTTTCATTCCTCAACACTCCACGAAAAATCCTGTTGAAACTATGCAAAAATTATTCATTAAATTTTCAATATACTTCTGTTACAAATCCATTTGTTACAGAGAAAATTCAACCAACTATGAAAATAACTGTAACAGATAAAATAAGAATATGACCATTTAACACTATTTAATTTTCATAACTAACAAACAATTACAATGGCATTTGTTATAGAATGCTAAAATAATATGTAATATATGAATGATAGTAAATAAAACCCAGTTATCTGTATTTCTACGGAGTTTTGTAGTCTTTGAATTAGAAACAGAAGAATTTTTTTTTTTTCATTTTCTAGAATATGTAATTACTGTAGTGAGGGTAGCTGTACAATGGACACCTCATATCTGTCCACTTAAACAATACTTACATGTGAGTACATATGTGACTACTGCAATGTGAATACTGCCATGTGAATACAAATATGTGAATACTGCCATGTGAATACAAATATTTGAATACTGCCATGTGAATACAGATATGTGAATACTGCCATGTGAATACAAATATGTGAATACTGCCATGTGAATACAAATATTTGAATACTGCCATGTGAATACAGATATGTGAATACTGCCATGTGAATACAGATTAAGTGAGTCTGTACAATCAACTGACATGCAAGGAGTCATTGGCACTCGGAATAGTTAATATCAGAAAAATGTCGGTACTAGAATACTGAAATTAAATGCATGCAAATTACAATATATAAATTACCAAAGATATGATACCCAGAAATTATCTTATTCCAGGTCAAAGCACCTTGGGAAGGACTTGGAAAACAGCTGGAAATAAATGACACATTTCTTACTTTGACTAGGTATATTTCATTCAAGAATAACTTCATTTTCTACTATTTCCTAGGCCACCTATAACACATGCCGTTTTTCTATATATATAATCAGCCAGCAAGTAAAACCAAAGGGAATTTCTCTACCCTCTAGATCAAGTTACATGACGTAACATCCCATACATAGTATCAGTACCTTAGTCTACAATATACCAAGGTATTCTATAAATTTTTTCCTCTGAGCCATTTTCTCTGCAATCTGCAAGTCTACAGTATTCACATATGCTAATGCTTGTTTGAAATTCCCATGCATTTCAATGGTAATTTGCCCTTGTTTATTTTCCAAGTGAGCTGTCCAACCTCAAATCCCGTACATTTTCCTGGTATTTTCCCGGCACGCCTTAAGGACCTCGTGCGTGGTTACGCCCTTCCACATGGCCACCTCGTCTGCAACGACGACAGCCAGACCAGGGTGCGAGTACTGCATCTCATCTCTCCGCACCTGGAACACAGAGCATACACTCTTAGTGTATATATACTCTTAGAATACTGTTATGGAGAAATACCTAGCCTGACTGAAAACTGAGAAATACCAAACCTAGCTAAAACAGAGAATACCCAACATAACTGAAAATTGAAATGTGAAGAAAAATAGGTCCTTCAAGGGTTGTTGTAACTCTTAATAATTTATAAATCAATGCTACAATTTTTATCCATCTGTTTATTTACTCCCTTCAATTATTTACTATTGTTGTATCATGTTAATTATGTAGTGTGAATATTTTCAAAACTTTATAAAAACTTTCCAAGGAATCATATTTGAAAGCAAAACAACAAAGGTGTCATCACTGACAAAGTTCACCACCTCACCCCATGAGGCACAAAGTACGGAGCGTCCGTCTCCAGGAGCAGACGATCTAAGGGCAGACAGCGGGCCACCTGGTGGACCTCCACTGCCGAACTGTAGGTCACCAGTGGCGTCAGACCCACAAAGAGGTTAGGGAAGAACGCCACCCAGCGGGACGCCTCCTGCCAGTCTCTGGTGAAACAGTGGCGGTGAATCTTCCAGTCTTTTGGAACCATCTAGAAGATGTTACTGATATTGTTATGGAAACAAGATATTTTCATCACAAAGGTCCTGGGTCTATCTAGCAAAGCCAACTTTAAACTTAATATGGTTTACATATGTGCAAACAAATAAAGCAGCTCATACGTCACAACTGTACATGAAATTTGTGACAGTCTGCAATAACTCCTGAAGTGAACTCACTGTCTTCATAATCTCAAAGCAGTCATCCTCGGCCTCCCTACAGTGGATGACCAGCGGCAGACCTCTGTCCATAGCCATCTGTAACTGCTTCACAAACACAAGCTTCTGCTTTTCCTTCAAACTACCAAACCTACAAAATAATGAAGTAGAAGATTTCCATAAAATGCCTTGTTTGGAAGGAAGATATCTTTATAAGCAGTGCAGACCAGTATTCCATAGAGCTGAAGTCTCAACTCAAACAGGCCGTTGTCTGCTATTTGTAGGTAGTCGACTGCACACCAACGCCCTTTTCACATCAAGTTTAGTCTTACCTCACCCAGGGCCACTGGGAGTGGAGTGGAGTGATTTAATAACAACAATTATCTCCGTCAGTCTAAATATGTACTTACTTCCCAGAGTAGTCTAGTCCTATCTCCCCCAGGGCTACTGTCTTAGGGTGACGGAGACATGCCTGGAGCCCCTGGTCAGACACCAGGGTGTAGTCAGTGGCACACTTAGGGTGACAGCCAAATGCACCCCAAACCCCCTCCTCCTGGACTATATCACGCCATAGACCACCTGAGGAAATAAAATATTCATTAAAAACTCCTACTTAAATGTCTGTATCTTTTTCTTTTAAAGATTTTCTGAGATACATATCTATGAGCTCCATACATAAGATCCGCAACTAGTATTTGAAAAATCTAAGTTCTTATTCAGCGTCAAAATTTACAAATTCCCCTTTAAACACAGTTGTTAAAGGTAAGTCTTTCAATATGATATCAGATTTACCAAACATGTTTTCTTTGCACCTGTAAAACAAAAATAATACACAACCATCATTTTCATACCTTGAACTTTAAAAGAATGTGGTTCACAGAACACTGCCACACATCCCTCGTAGCTGGCAGGAAACGTAGCCTCATTCTGAGACCTGTACTTGGCGAATGTCCCCTTGAAGCCTGTCCTTCGAAACAGGAAGTCAATATGACAGTGAGTGTCAATGTACGGAATATCAACACTACTGAACTTCTTACAGAACGCCTTGCTCCACACCCCAGTCTCCTCTGAGTTCAGAGAAGAACTACTTCCAAAACTCTGAGTCTTTGCTGTTTCCAGATTGGACGATGATTTTGTGGCTGTCCAGCCTCCCACAGGCATCCTCCACGCATCCTCCCCCCGTCCTCTCCCCCAGGATTTCCTGGAACCAGAGTTCTCAGCTGCTGTCTGAGCACCTCCCACACTGCCAAATGTGACCTGGCCTTGGTTGTTCATGGTCATCAGTTGGTGTTTGAGGGGACCAGGGTCACTCATCCTGCCCCCGCCACCCCAACGCCAGTCTTGTTCTCTGTACATACACTCTGGTGTCACTGATGATAACCTCACTGGAACACTATCCTTGTCATTGTATTCTTCCCAACTGTTATAACTCGAACTATTGTCATTACCATCACCCTGTGTCATTTTTATTTCCGTTGAAGTCTCACCATTATTTTCATTATATTCTTCCCAGCTTCCATATCTGAGTTTGCTATCACTAGTGGCTCCATCTACACTTCTGTAGCTGCTGGAGGTGTTCTGGAAACGTATATGGCGAGAGGGGCCGTCCTGCACCTCAAACCAGTCCACAGAGGAGGTGCTCAGCTGATCAGAAGATTGATCAAGTGATTGATCATGTAACCCATCATGTGACTGGTCATGTGACTGATTATTCACAGGCTGGATGTAAGAGACATTTTTGGACGCTGTACTAGAGTCTGATCTTATCAGGGCAGTGTCGCTGTAAGCCTTCTGTACAGGGACTACCCTCCTTTTGGAATTTCCACCAACTTTGTCTGTCTTTGGCACCACAGTCCATTTATTGTGAGGATAGCCACTACGGTTGGGTGCTGCCCCCAAGGACCCACATATCACACTTCTGGGGGCTGTAGGTTTCAGAGCTGGGCTTATCCTGGAGTTGACCGGTATCCAGGCTGGACTTAGCACCTCCTGGTGGTCAGTAAGCGCATTAAACTGATCAGAATTGCTGGAGTCTTTGTTACTGAGCCAACTGTCATCGTAGCCGTCATTGTCACCACCTCCAATGTTACAGCGTGACAGGGTGATGTCAGAGACAGAGTGGTTCCTGTCCTCAACCTCTGCATTGTTATTAACTTGTAAACCATGTGCTTTCCCTTCCTGGTAGTGCATAAACTCTTCACATCCATTGCAGTTTTCCTGGCCTGGATTTGCAACAACATCAACTGGCAGTGTTTCCAAAGTCTGATCTTTTAAGAAGTCACCATTTTGTTGTGTTATTGGGGCACTATTGGCTTTGAATGGTGTACTTGTCTGGAGGCTCTTCTCTCTCTTGAGACACCCCAGTCCACCTTCCCCAGCTCTCAATCTCTGGTGTAGACTGAGCACAGTGGAGGTCTTAGGTTTAGGAGTGCTGGTTTTCATGCTGCCGGACTCCATCAAGGTGCCGTCTCGGATCTGTGCCAGTGGTTTTCTCCCACGTCTGGGCCCCCATTTTGGACCCCACTGTCTCCAGTCCTTGGCAGGATTTTCAGTAGGTCTATGGTGTTCCTGTTCTTTTTGTTGTCCACTTTGCCCTTCTTTCTGTTTAACCTGTGGATGTTGGCCTGGGACCTGTGCACAGGTCTCCTGTTGTAATTGTACCTGTGGTTGCTCTATTTCACAGTCATGTACCGTTAAGTGTGGCTGCTGTTGGTTTTCACCCCATTTTTCCTGCTTTTGATTTCTTTGTCGAATCTGAAACTGCTGTTCTTGCAAATTTTGAAGATGCATCTGCTGTTCGAGAGAATTCCTTCTTCCCGGTGTTTTCATTTTGAAGCACACTCTTCCTCGGCCAAAACCTGAAGACTTTTTCTGGACAATTAGTCCTTGGCATTGATGGCCAGATCTCACTGACCCCTGGTCAATTTGGGCAGCCAGCTGAGTGTTTCTGACACTGTCACTTCCATAACTGACCTCTCTGACATCAGGTTCAGGGGGCAATCCACCCTGTCCATGGTGTTTTTTCTCGGTTTTCTTTCTTTTTCCCTTCTTTTTCTTCTTTCTCAGGGTGATAGTTTTAGAGGACGGAGTCTCAATACTACTGTTGTCTCTTGAACTGCTAACATTACTGGCACTGGTATTATAGTCTGTCCCCACTGTATTGGAACTGCTATTACTCACTGATGTGTTTCCACTGGAACTGCCTGTACTGGACCTGCTTGTGTTTGAACTTTTAGTATTTATAAGTTCTTGGTCTACTTTCTCAGCAGATATGTCCATACTTGTTTCCCGAGTGCCATCTGAGATGCTTTCCCTCTCTCCGTCAGCAACAGACTGACCAAAGTCCACCCTCTGTCCATTAAACGGGCCGGACAATACAGTTCGAGTGTCTTCAGCATCATCTTGACCATTTTTCAGATGACCTTGACTTCTTCTCTCGCTGACAGTACTATCCCTCTCCACCATCTCAGAACTGCCAAGGTCTGAAGAATAAATTTAATTACATTCTAAAATATCCCCTGTCAAATATATTATAATATATACCAAAGTGTTCGCAACTGGTACTTACATTAAAATTTCAGTTTTGATACATGAAGTTGTTCTGATGGCAAAAAGATGGTATCATAATTAAGTATTTGTTATTATATAAAACTGTGTACTTGTGATTTCAGCTTACAAGCTAAACAATTTCAGTGATTTGTTATATAATTCAGAAAAATCAATATCACACTGGTACAACTTAAAATGAGATGTTTTCCTGCAAAAGAATCATTTTAATTTGCCTCCATAAAATACAAGGTACACACTAAAGAAAATATCTAAGGGAGTTGCTAAATGTATATCCCTGGAATTCTATCAATACACAGTTGTACCTTTATCTGCTGAACTGACACGGAGTAAGGACTTCGGAGATTTGCTGCACTTGAGTTTTTTGTGAGATTTCTTGTGTGACGTCTTATCTGAAAAGAACATTTTTTGTAGTTAAAAATATGTAATTGTCAAAAAAATATTTTATCAAACAGAACTAGTTAGGTTCTAATTGGACATTTACTACTGATAGCTTTTCTGCTTCAAATTAAAGAAATCATTTATATTTCTACTTTAAATAGTACTGGCAAATAAAACAATTTTCTCCATTCCTGACTTTGCTGCATTTATTACGTAGAACCATTTATTGCTACAGCTCAGCTACTGCAATATTAATGGAATCTTTGCAAATGGCAAGAGCTTCAAAACAAAAGAAAGATAGAAAGAAAGAAAGAAAGATAGAAAGAAAGAGGCCTTAAAGAAAATGTTACTCTCAGTTTAGGCAAAAGCAGGCTGAACAAATACAGTAATTTCTAACCTTTTACAATTTTACTGGAATCTGTGTTCCGCAAAGATTTCCTCAGTTTCATGATGGCCACTCCTAACAAGTTCCCTCCCCTTGGACATCTCCCACGGCGGAAATCTTCCTCAGTCAGTCCAACGCCCCACCCTGGACAGGTGACAGAATGCCAAAGTGGATGGTCACCTGTGTCCAGCAGAACCATATTAAACTGTGGACAAAGGTCACTTTTGGACTGCAACAATTTCCTGATGACTCGGCATCTCTTGCTGATCCAAAGGTCTGACTCCTCCACCTGAGAACCAAGTCGTTCTGCATCTCTCCCTCGCCTGGCATGCTGGATTTGGTCTGCGAGTTTCTCTTTCCCATGGAAACGTGCTTTTAAAACTTGGTAGGCGTGCTCTACACTTGAGAATTCTTCGCCCTTGTAAGCGACCTGGCACAGGTAATGGTTGGACAACACACTGTACTCCCCAGAGAACAAGACAGGCTCTAACTGGGGAGAACACAGAGACTTGAACATCAGGTTGTACTGGGAGGAGTTTTCCTTGTCAGCCACCTGGTCTTCACTGCACAGCTCCTGTGTTAGAGCCGTCTCCAGTGATCTGATGACTGAAGGAAGCATGGTGTTTGTACTGGTCTCATTGCCAGCTGAGGTGACTTCAACTACTCTTGCATCACCAACGCCACCTACAGTTGAGATCTCTTGATTGGCAGGTGCTTCTTCTACAATTATAATAAGAACAATAAATTAATTTAGAAGTCTTACTCTCATTAATAAAACATACCAAATCTCTTCATTCAACAAGAACAAAAAGTCAATTAAATACGACACTTATTGAACTTCAGTGACCCACATGCAATCTTAAATTTGAATCCAACATGGCAGATGAACATTTTATTCAGAGTTGAAAGATTGAAAAAATTCCCATGCCTTAGAAAAATAACAGTTTCTTTTATTATGCTGACAGCTTAGATTATTATTGCTGTCCTCACTGCATCAAAATTTGATCTAGGTGTTGGTCAACTAAGGGGCAAAAAAGTTTACTTTTCAAAAAAGAAAGAATAAAAGTCCCCTCCACCCTTGAAATTGCTGGCTGCAGACCTGTTCTTATTACTGGTAAACAGTAACATTGGGAAGAGTTCCCTATCTTATTCTACAAAATCATGTAGTTCACTTTCTCACCTCCAATACTGGCTCCAGTCTGAGGGTCACATTGTACAGAGTTGGCAGAGGAGGAGGAAGAGGACCACGACCCCAGCCTCTTCTTTGGGCAGTTCGCCATGGAGACAGCTTCACTTGGTTTGGAAATAACTGGGTCATCATGACCTAGATCTACACTGCGATCTGAAAATGCATGTAAATTAAAGAATTTTAATTAGTTTTTTAGTTAAACTTCATATTGCAGCAAAGTTTGTTTCTAAACCAAAAAAAATAATGTATTCATTATAAATGCTATCTTCTCCTGGCTAAAATAAAATTTTGTAACACCCCAAGGGCCATATGCCTGCCTGGCTTTACTTTTCAGAATGAATTTTCCTTTAAACTGATGAACTGACAAATGAAACAGACCATGCTTCTGACCTGTGCAACTCCTAACTTGCTTTCAGCCTAATTCAAGAATATAAAGTAAACTAGCCTTGAGAAATTAAAGAGTTGGGTGGGTACACAGCAGAAATCAAGGGTCAGCTTGAAAAAATTGTGTTCAGTTTCTCATGTCCCATATTTGTGCACAACTTTCAACAATTCCAAGATATATCAGAAGATACAGTTCAAAGCTGCTTTTCTTTTCAGCTTAAAAATTAACATATCTTGATTCATCCCACCTTTCTTCTCTGTTATAAGGCATTCTTGCAGCCTTGGGCTTGCACTTCTCCTGAGGTTTTGGGCAGGTGAGCCTCTTTTCTGCTGTCCCAAGTCCTGAACTGACCGCGAGAACAACCTCGCTGCTCCATGCAGGGAAGCCGAGGCAGAAAAGACAGGCGAGCTGTTTTTCCGAGTCTTGGCATTAGCAGACTTGTTTTTATTTGTGTCACCAGTAGGTGTCTCCATGTCAATCTGGAATTGTTTGTATGACGCAGGTAGCTACACTGAAACAGTGAATAACATGAAGGGTTGCAACCTTAATTTGATGAGTATTTTTTTTAAATAATTTTGTTAATCATAAATAATAACAGTATATACATGTATTTCAATGGGCTTGAAATTCCTTGCAAGATGGCGATAAACAATTGCGTAAACTACCAAACAAAGTTCTCTAAATAGAAGAGACATTGATCAAAAACACCACACAATTTAATGTGGGGAAAATTCGAATCCTTGACGTTGTAGGTGGGGAGGGGCGAGAATTGCATATCTTGTTCCAGTGTCAAATACGTCTTATTCTTTGAAGACAGTTAATTGAAACAGTTTAACACAACATGCTTTTGATTGTAAACACTAACCCCTGTAATCATAACGTACTGTTCAATAATTTAAAAAGTAGTTATAATTCAAAGAAAATCTCACCCTTGACAGAACTCGAGCTTTCACCCAAATTTCGCTGCAAGGCAGCCATCACATTTCAGACATCCCACCAATGAAGTCACGTGCTGCAAATTTATAACGTCACTTCCTGTAAAAATGAAAGCTCGGTGGACTCCTACTGCAATCGTATGGAACAGCACAATCTGGCTTGTGCGCTTGAAAATGAAAGCGATATTGTGACCCCCATAAGATGACAGACGACCACTTTCCCTTTTCCAAAACAAGATGGCGGAAGGCCTATTTTCCAGAAATTTTATTCACAATTTTTCTTCCTCATGTTGATAAAAATAATTGTCACGTGTTTAAAAATAATGGCTAACTTTCAGCTGAAAAAATATCATTATCATGTTCAATTATTTGTATCATTGAACGAGCTGAACTTTGGTCTAGAAAAGGACCTACTGTTTTAAGGGATTTATCACTCTGTAGATTTGTAGGATAAATTGCCTCTGATCAGAGCCTGCCCAATTATAATTTTGTCGGTGTATTTGATATGGGAGTTGTGCATGATTTCTTGCTTCTTTTTATACTTTACAGGTGAG